GAGGAGATCTTGTGTTACAGTATCTGACAAACATTGTAATGTTTACGTCATTTTCTCTCCTTCTCTCTCTCTCTGTCTCGCTCTCTCCTCTCCCCCACCCTCTCAACCTCTTTGCTAGGCAACATCTAACCTGGGGGCTGTCATTATGCTGCCAAGAATCTCCCATAATGCCCTTGGTACTCTGTGGGCCTAACTGGGCTGTGTGACAGATGTATTGGATGTCGCAGAACAAGTGTGTGTTTGTTGTGGGCCACTTGTGAATGGTAGCGGTACAGGAGCTGACTGCAGATGAGGCTTGTTTGGACTGAAAGTGTGCTGAACAGGGGAGGGGAGGGCTTCTTCATTATCACCCTAACACATCATGCATCAGTTTTCTCTTGTAAAGCTGTAAAGTGATTGATTTCCACAGGCATCTAAAGCTGAATCCCAGAAGACGAGAAAACGCTTAGTTGTAGAAAATACAGGACTGAATTCGAGAAGACACTTTAATATATTAATTTTAATATCTAAAGCTTATGGATGTTTATTACCAAAAGATATTAAGTAACTAAGTATTATTTTTTGGGTTGCAATTAAATTACAAACAAATTTAATGAAATTCTTTATGTGAAAAAGCATATTAGTTACAGACATGTAGAACGCAGGTGCAGCTAACCATGTTTCAGTGTTTGTGTTTTGCTGTTTATCTGCTACAGCTCAAACTGTTTGAACACATCTCTGCTGACCATAAGAGGGAAGAAAAAAAAAAACTTTTTTACTCACTATTTCTCATTTTGTTACCATTTCACATTATTTGTGAATTTTAGTACTTAATCGTAGACCTATTTCATCTTTTATTTCCTATTTAATTTCTTTTAGCCTTTTTTTGTCTTTTGGCTGAAAATGAAAGTGCCACGTTTGACCATTTCAGCCTAAACCTTTTCAGTGGAAAGAATTTTTGTGCATGCCTACATTATAAATTTTAAACATTTATACATGGCACACTTTTTTATAGTATTTTTATTCTCATTTCAATAAGATATATAAAGTATTAGAGCATGTAGCAGGACCGTTGACTAATGAGAGTGGATAAAAGTAGGATGCACAATATGGACAGAACCTCATAGCACAATAATATTGCAACATTTAGTGATAACGGTGTATTATAACGATATATAATATTGGTGAACCCTGATGCTGATGCTAGTATTTGACCAAAGTATTCGGTTGGATCACATGAATGTCTTGATTCATAAAACTACCCACAGAAAAAATCCACCCGAATTGTCTGAGATTTGGTCAGGATATTCACAGCATCTAATTTAAAAAATTGTGATTTGTTAGAGGCTCATTTACATATTGCAGCCTTTTGTAATACTGGTATCACAATAACATCATACACTGCAATATTGTGCCCCCCACCCTTTTTTTCTCTCCCAAGAAACTCAGGATATCGACTGATACCAAAAATTTGGCCAAAACCAAAATTCAGGACGCTACATTGAAACAGTAACAATATTAAAGAAAATTACTAAAATTATTACTGTATGTATACTACCATATGTGCCACAAATTCCAACATCCTTGACAACAGACAGCGGTTGGTCATCCAAGACAATGGATTTTTTTTAAGCTGTAGTTTTTTCGAATGTATGTACACTGTGTTACCTCATTATTCTGTGTCTAAGGTAACCAATCCAATGTATTGTATCAGAGGATCCCTAATCGCCAGTATTGTAATAGTGATCCACAGATGATATATTATGCAGCTCTAGGAAGCTGGACAAAAACACGTGGACAGTTTCCTTGTATTGTTCTGAAAGCATCCTCCTGACTCAGGCCCTATTCTACTCTACCAGCCCATTCTTTAGGAGCAGGATTGGATTACAGGGCATTATGGGTACCATAGTACTCCAGGAACCATAGTACTTCTGGACTCCACTCAGGCCACTGTTTGTTCTCCTCTGTCCTGTTTGAAAGCGCTGAATCATTCCTCAGACACTTTTTTTCTCCCACATGGTTGGCTATGATAGTGCAATCTCTCCTCTCATTATTTCCTCTGAGACTAATATCACCTGCTAGCACACAGGCCTGTTAAGCTGAGCCTTGAGCTGTGACATATGACTGGACATTGCAACTGTTTGTCATCTGTCAGACATAACAAACTAATCTGGAAATTTTAGCCTTTAGAAGTTCTTTAATTATTATTATTTTTCCCTGGATGTGAGCCTAAACTCTGTTTCTGTTGCACATAATAATAGCTGGGTGTGAACTGCTGATTGCCATCTTTAATACAAAAGTTATTTAGAAAAAATACTGTAGCTTTTTCTAGCCATAGATAAGGATTCACTTTTTTGGCTGATTCTTTCAAATTGGGAGATATTTTGTGGGAGGGGGCTCCTTTGTTTATTTGTTTGTTTGTTTGGTTGGTTGGGTTTTTTTTTTAACCTGACTTTCATGCTGTGTGGGCTAAATGAAACACACTAGCACATTTCCAATACTTGCTGTTAACCAAAGCTGCAGTATAAATAACATTATTTGTCATTTGCCAAGCTGGCATTCTAAATTTTTAAATGAAACAGTTAAGCGAGTTACTGTGGTAACAGCCCATGGTGACAGTAAATATTCCTTTACCATTGGTTTAGAAACCTATTGTTCTTTTATTGATTTAATTTCTGCAAACCATAGCAAGACACTGATATTCTCTCACATGAAAATGACTGACCTTTTAAACACGTTGGATGACGTCCTACGTTAAATCCACATTTATTAAACCCAGCATAGCTGAGATTGATCTGTGAACACGGCTGTGGAGCTGTACTGGTTAAACATGCTCTGTGCTGCAGGCAGATCATGCCTGTACAAAATGTTGCCTTTGCAGTGCGATTGACATGACAGACAAAATTGTTTTGTGTCTCAGGAAAAACACAAGTAAAATAATGCCATCAACTGTTGTACATCAGGTCAAACAGGCTGTTTCCAGAGGAAGGCATCAGGCTAAGCTACGTAGCCTCAAACGATAAAGTTGTGCGACATTTGCATTTTCGCTCTTATTACAGGTTTTGTGGCCAAATTAAAGATAACTATACAGTTGTATGCAAAAGTTTGCATGCCCAGTCTAATTACTTGCTTTTGTTTTGCTAAATAAAAATTATTTAACACTTTCCCTACAGACAAACTTTTCCTGCAAATTTTAGAGCACAATTTCTACTTATTTGTTGAGCTTAAAATTAAAAAAAAACATAACATATAAAATGTGTGGTAACTTTTGCATAGGATAAAAATAAACAGTGATTGTGCATTAAAATGTGCAGATGTATGTTCTCTGTAGAGGCTGTAGACTTCACTTCAATCAGCAGAATATTTCATTTGCCCAGGGATGCCCAAAATTTTGTCGATAACTATATACTACAACCACAACTTTTACTGAACTGCCCTTTTATGTTCTTTTATTTCTTCTAGTTCAACACAAATGCCATCACTGTGCTTGTTCACCCTCTCGTCCACTACCAGAAACCGTCTCAAAATTACCAAACAAATGTTGTTGTTGATGTACCAGGGTGTTATGTTGTTCAGGGGTTATACCAGTTGGATGCACATATGGGGCATAATATATCTTGCCACATCTCCCTGTATTTTGCGCCATTCTTTCATTTTTAAGTTTTAACAAGATGTCCAGCCCCCGGAGAGGAACAGCATCCCCACAACATGATGCTTCCACCCCCATACTTTGCTGCTGGGATGGTCTTTGTTAAGGAAAGATTAATGATATGTTTGCACCACACAGCTCCATTTTTGTTTCATCTGCCTACAAACCTTTAGCCCATATTTTATCTGGGTTACTCTGGTGATTTCTGGCTAACTCTAGAAGTGCTTTGATGTGGGTTTACATCAGCTTCTTTCTAGCCACGCTTCCATACAGACCAGCTGTATGCAGGGCTGTTGCTAATGTTGACTGTTGCACCTTCACTTCAGTTTCAGCCACTGAACTTTGTAGCTCCTATACAGTGACTGTTGGCCTCCCTGACGCTTCCCTCACAAAACCAACTTCTTGTTCTGACACTGAATTTAGAGGGACGGCCTTGTCTAGGCAGCGCCCGGTAGAACCAATGGTATATGAATTAGAGGGGTCTTTTGTCCACAAAAGGTGAAGGTTTTTTTAGTAATTCACAAATGGAGGTTAATTGTAAGCCAATTGTGTACTAGTTAGAGCAATATCTTTCATTTCTGGAAACTTGGAGCTTCCACAGCACAGGGGTTGAATCCTTTGCGAGCAGCTTTTTTCAGTTAGTATTTTTGTCACAGAATATTTTCTTTATAAAACCAATATCACTTTAAATTGTTCATTTTCATGGTCAGTCTTTTGAAATAAAATGTAACAATGCACAAAATATCAAAGTAACATTTGTAATTTAGCCACATTTGATGACTTTAAGGCAGTTCAAAACTTTGACACGGCATTGTATTTAGATTAGATTTTTAGATTTTAGGTCATATAGACTTAGTATTGTTATTGGTACTTCGTATTGGCCGATATTTAAGGGCCAGGAATGAGTATCAGAAGGGAAATAAATGGTATCAGTGCATCCCTTCTATGCATATAAACCTGTGTGGAAATACAAAACTAAAATAAATAAAAAGTTTAGTTGCCTGTTTAAGTAGCATAAATCAAAAAATGTGTTCCACTGAATGATAGAGGTGACTGGCTATTCAGCACAGTGAATCATGCATAACTGTGCAGTGAGAGCTTATTATAGTTAGCATTCAAATACAGTGCAACCTGACACACCTTGTTAACATCATAGAATTGCAACACATCAGCCAAACCAAAAACACTAAATGAGCAGATTGCCAGTTGTGTGTTTGGAGCAAAAGATCTGCCAAAACAATAAACATGAAAAGTGTAAGATGTATTAACAATGTGTTCAGTTAGAGGTTTGCTTAACCAGTGTGTAGTGAAAGTAGCTGCTCTTGTTGTCTTGCTGTGCTGGTGAAGTCATTCAGGATTCTTTGTGTTTCAGGTGAATTTCGTGGTGTGTCAGCTGTGTGCGCTCCTCACAGCCTTCTGGTTCCGCCTCTACCTGCACCCTAGTAAGACAAGTCCCTTCGTCCGACATGTGGTGGCCACGCTGCTGGGCTTATACTTCGCCCTCTTCTGCTTTGGCTGGTGAGTCTCCTTTTCTGTCCCAAGAGTTGCCACAGATCCTTATACATGAACATCTTTCTACTGAAGATGTGGACATTGCAAACCGACAAAAAGCAGCCTAGAATATTGAAACATTTTGGAAGGCTGGGTGTCACACACTTCTGACAGTGTAATTAAATAAGCATGAATTGTGTTCATGTTTTTTGTAATGTAGAGATCATGAAGCACTCTAAATCTCTTAAAAGATTTACCTTTGAGCACTTCTAAAAAGAGCTATTCCTGCCAATAGCGTTAGATTTTACCAGCCTCTTCTCTTCTGTAAAGACTGAGAGCATTTTGTGAATTATTTAAAAGGTGAATAGTAATAAAACATCTGTAGTGCTGCAGATCATTTTGACTGATGTCGTTAGGTTGGGTGAAGGGCAGGTCTGGTCCTACATCAGGGCTTCTGCTAAACTCCGTTGCTATTTACAGAGCAAAGGAAAAGCTGTGCCGATAACATTACATAAATCAGGAGCAGTGTCCTGTGTACACTGCTAGTGTTCTCAAGGCTGTATTGATGTTTGAGCAACTGTGGCAATCTTTGACTTGTTAGCCGATGTGATTTAATAGAACAAACAGATCAATAGGCTTTGCTCATATTAATAAGGCATGGATGAACTTCCAGGCACATTCCAACCCCTAATTAGTTACGACATGTTTATAAACTCTCATTAAAGTGTCACACTGTGTACATGGTGTGTGTGTGTGTGTGTGTGTGTGTGTGTGTGTGTTTGTCTGTGGGCCCTGTTTTCGCAAGTCTAAAAATAGGACTTAAAATTGTGTTGTCTCGTGTGAAATGTGGCAGATTTATTTTTGATATGAACAGTATGAACAATAGCTAAAAAACAGCAATAATAATAATGATCGCAACAATAATAATAATAATAATTTTATTAATACAGTACTTTACAACTGTACTAGCTAAACCGCAAAAGGCCGCAACACACCGGATGAGCCGTGTCATGTTGTGCGTCGTTCAGCTCCCAAAAAGTCATACCCGTTGTTTTTTTTAAAGGCGTGTTCAGAGGTGCCAACTGCGCTGGTGCTTGGTGACTGTGCTCTTTTCAATTTCTCAGCGCGTCACAGTGCAACACAGTGTTAATTTAATATGTTAAAGCCATATCAAGACAACAGAAAGTTGTTGTACATTACATATGGCTTGAAACTGACACAGAGAAAGGCAGTCAGGTTTTTATTTGCACTCTCATTGCATGCATCCTATAGCAGCACTCTGATGCTACACGACACTGTCTGGAGTGTGTTGGCCTTAAGGCTGGCTTTACGCTGTAAAACATCCGTGCAACTTTAGTTTCTTCAAACCATCCAAAGATTGTTCCATGAACAGCTCAATGGTTTTACTTGCTGCATTTCTAGAGAATTCTGCTGTGTGCAGTCAGATGTGTGTACATCAACTATTTTACAGTGGCTTCGAACTTGGCTCAGCCAATCACAATCACATAGAACTGGAATGATATATTTTCTAAAGATTAGGTTTGGTAGACTTTCTGTTAAATACATGATGTTTCGTGCAGAATGACTGTTTCATTCACAATTCGTAACTTTAAAAGAACTGAACCTTTCATTCTTATTTGTTACAAAATAAAATAATCCGGTCAGTTGTGTTTAGTTAGTAATTGAGTGACGTTGTTTTGAATTTTGCATGGCACTCTCCCTGTTGTACCACCCCACCACTTCATTATCACCAAAACCACAACTGGATGCAAACAAGAAATTTGTGCTTGGGTCCAGTAAAATTAGCCATACAACTGTTTTATACCACTGGCCTGTGCTTGGGCCTGCATGTAAATAGAACCCTATCGCTGTCTGGCGATCACTAAGCACACATGCAGCAGGTGATTGCAACAACATAAATAATCATGTCACAAGGACATGGGAGAGGATCCAAATACACTATTACAAACACAAGTGCATCCTCAAACACTCTGCAGCAAAAAATTGGGTGAAGTGGAATAGAGATAGAAGTTTGTGTTGTAACAAATGTATCTTATCATTCTCGATGAAGCTGTCAGTTTGATGCACAAGGAATCTAATAGTACATTCAACACACTCGTGCAAATGTAGCACATTTTAACACTGCTTATATGGCCTGAGGTGTCATAAAGATTAAACAAGCCAGAGATTAAACAAGCCTTAGAATACTAACAAACACTCCTCATAAGCTTGTATGTTGGCGTGAGGCTGGTATGTTAACTTGAGGCTAACATATTAGCTCATGGCTAGTGCATTCGCTCAGGCATCATCCTTCCCTGCTAGTCAGTGGAATTAAAAAAGGCAGTTAAAAAAAAATGGTGCTGCTGTTGTTAAGTTGAGATGATATTTCTATTTTTTGTGTTTGATTTTGGTCTTGTCCGATTATAAAGCATGGCTTTTATTGTAAAAGCTGCTAGAAACCAATCTGAACGGATCAGGCTGTGTGTCTAAAGACTTTTGTACTTTTCTAATGTTGAGTGCTTTTAATAAACAAAAAATGGTGCCATATTAAAGCTGCACTATGTATATTTTTGTTAAAATTAAAAGAAGTCACTGAGTCAGGAGAACAAAAACAAACTAAAAAGTGGTGTCCGTGTGATGCTGCACCCTGTAAAGCTTCAAATAATGACTTAAAAAGTCAGAGCTGTTGGGTCAGATTTTGGGGGAGTTTTTCAGATCACATCATATATTTTTACATATTAACGTCACCCGTACAGCCTCAGAAAGAAGGTCCAGCTCTCTGTTTAGCTCTCAAATGCAAAATCAGTATTATACCCATGATGATATGGTGACAACAGTAGAGAATTCGCTTACCTCCTTAGAAGACATGACCTTCAAGTTTTGGCTTTGGAGTTCTCTTTGGTGGCGCCAGAGGGAGGGAGGGAGTTTATCTGCAAAAGGCATGGGTTGCTAGCATTTAAGGGTTAAACAGCTATGCTGAGTGCAGTGGTGCATCATGAAAACAGTGCTCTTAGAAAGATAGCGCCAAGGACACCCAGGGCTTGTACATGAGGTGCTGCAGTAATGTACTCCATTATTCCGATAAGCCACAGAAAATTAGATGGAGGCGAAACATTCTCCAGAAATTAGCTGTCAAACCTGAGAGTGTGCAGTACAAGAAGGCACAATAAAAATGGCGCATATGTGTCTTATCCTATATTGAGTGTTATGTTTGAGTATATGCGGGTTTGAACCTCTCTTATATACTTCAGATAAGAAAGAAAGAAGTTAGAAAATATTAGTATAAGCCTACATTGCTGAGTGCTAATATAAATCACTCAAGTATGGTGTCTCTGGCTATACAGCTTCACAACTATGATTATTTCATTATCTGCTGTAATTGCTATACATTTCCAGCATGAATTATATTTGGGCCTGCTACTGTATTTGCGTAATCCCGGCGCCTCGCCCTGCATTACTTCATTTGCATAGAGCTCCCATTTGCTTGCACTAACCAAACTGCAGGTGCTCAGGGCACAAAATGACCAAAACGCACATTACAAGGTCATGAATACACCATGAATATGTAGCACATATGCTGCAGCACTGAATTTCCTGTGGAAAAATCTCAATCCAACCGTGACAGTGAGGTGTTTAAAACCCCAGCAACACCACTGTGTCAGATACCTCGTCTCAGAGCTACACTCCCTAACATACCACTCACTAACATAACACTACCATGTCAGTGTCACTGCTGTGCTAAGAATGGTTCACCACCTGAATGATATCTGAACAGGTGTGCTCCTACACTGTTAAAGGTAAAGTTTCCGTAATGTTTTTTGGCTTGGATGTATGATTTTAATGAAAAAAAAAAAACTTTAATTGGTAGAAACCTTCCTAATGTATATGAAGGTTTATTAAAACTATTAAATATTCTTCACACTTACATGTTGTTGGGCCATCCATTCAAAGGTTCGCTAGCAAATCAAAGGTGTTTCTTTGCTGGCATCACTCCATTTTAAATTTCTAAGGGTGGATGGGTGAATGGTGGTCCCTTTCCACTGTGCCACAAGGTAGATGGAAGGTGATAAATTGTGCAGCAACAGATGGGCTACAGCCAGTCACTGTAAACCAGGCTGTATGGTGTGCATTTGTGATAAAATGGCCAATGAATGTAGATACAAGGTAGGGGTTTCTAATAAAGACAGGACCGAAGGTGGGCTGACTGACAGTGGTGTAGTGAGGCCTTTTAGCCTCAGCTGCCTCATAGTACCTCTCTGTAGGGGTTGAAGGAGGAAGATCAGATGAAGGGTAGTTAGCCGGAGGTCTTAATGGGTCCACTGAGTGGATGTTTACCGTCACACTGACCTGTCTGGTTCCCATGGAGAGCAGCACATTTAAAAAGTGCATTAGTCAAGATTCATGATATTCAACCTCTAATGGTTAAGTAGCTGAATTGCATCACTGGAATGCATTTTTTTCTGTGGATTCGCCTCCCATTCCTGCCCATCAACACAGAGTACACACACAGAATCGATGGTGACTATTGGACCTTATTTAGAGTTTGTCACTGTTACGAAGGATTGTCACGGCTTCACTTTCTAGAGAGAGGCTGTTTATTATGGCTATTGCTTTACTTACTTATTTAGATTATACATGTTAAAAGTTTGGTATTGTACTACCATTGCTGGAGATGAGTATGCAAAACTGGAGAGAAGCAGTCTGAAGCAACTGGACACCAAACAGAATTTAGTTTACCTGCATTTAGACTCCGGCGCTTATTCACACATCAAACAGCCCATCAAAAATACAGACATGATGTTGTATTTTGGGCATGTTGTTAACTGTCAAAGTGGTTAAGTTTGTTAAACCTGTTTACTCCTGGCGTTCCGTTTACATTGATTTGCTGCTTCAAGAGTGGTCAGGAGTGTCTTGGCTGCCCAGTTATTCTTTGTGATGAGTTTTTAGTTCATCTTTTGAGTTTTCCAGTGAACAGTCTCTACCTGTGTTAGCTGATCAGCATTGTTACATAATCATTCAAAGCATTAACTTTACAGTCCCTCTGAGTGATAAAGATTTCTGCTTGATTGGTTATGTAAAGTTGGCCATTCAAACTCTTTATACATATCATGTTTACATATCTGTCCAGGCAGGAACTCCTCTAATTCTGCCTTTAGCCTTTCCCCTTCACGTCTTAGAAAAGCACGTTGTGTTGTTTCTGGTTTTAACACGCTTCCTGTCATTGAGGTTTTTGGCAGCATTATTGTTTTATCATATTCTACGTATTTTCCAGGTTATTTGTACTAATAAATCAAATAATACACCATTAAATCATGTGTAGATTCACTGGGAACTCTGAACCCTTACATTACCCTGAAATAAGCACTTACCCTTGATTACTTATTTATTTGCAGTTAATGGTAATGTAACTGATTACATTGGTCATGTATTTAATTACATTTATAGTCCTTTTATATTCTGTATCAACTGGCTCTGACATTTTGTTTAAAAAAATGACACTTTGCAAAACAAGCCTATAAATTCCCATTAAACTTTGAATATGTTTTCATCAAATTTAAGTCATGTTCTATGTAGGATTGTGATTGAATCAGCACTTTCTACAGGACTTCTCTTTATGTTTCAGTGAGCGAGGAGTGAGATAATTAATCAGTATATGAGAGATGCCATGGGAGACCTAGGAGGGTTAGTGGGTGAATAATGAAAAACTTGCATTAGCCTAAAAAAAAATCATCCCATTAAAAATGTATTTTGCTTACAGAGGCTGAGCTGCAGACAAGCTTCCACTTTTACATCTCAGAGAGAGAGAGAGAGAGAGAGAGCGTGGGGCAGGAGCTGAGTGCTGTTTGGATTAGTGTTACAGTGAGAGGAAGATGCCAGCTTTTCTTCCACAAAAACACGATAGTGTCCGTTAACAGTTACTGGATAACAGTTACTGGAAACAACTGTGTGTGTTTGTCTGTATTGTACCTATTACTACAGAACTGTGTGTGTGTGTGTGTGTGTGTGTGTGTGTGTGTGTGTGTGTGTGTGTGTGAGAGAATGTCTGATGCAGCTCTTTTTTTTTTCTTTCTCTGTCAGGTATGCGCTCCATTTCCTGGTGCAGAGTGGCATCACCTATGGCATCATGATCTTGGCTGGAGTTGAGCACATGCACAAGTGAGTCACCTTCACTCTATGAATCATAGCTGAAGCCTCTGTTTGGTCACTTGTTCCCTCTTTACCAGCTTTATTTGAAGACTTGAAGACACCCAAATGTTTTATGGTCTCTGACTTTTACTATAATGGTGCATAGTCTGACATTCAGGTCTATATTACAAAGTTCAAAACAATTCTGAGTGTTTCTACCTCGTAAGGCTATTAGCAGTCAGTTTGACCATTTATATTTTGTGTCCATGAGGCAGCTCTGTTTTTCCACTGTTCCAGCGAGTCAGATGTCATTTTGGAAGCGGTTATTCAGGAACCTACTTACCTTGTCTGAGTATTTCTACCCGAAAAGCCATAGAACTCATTATGACTGTATACATGAGGTTGTGTTTCCTCTGTTTGGGCTCTTTTTTTTCCTTTTTCCTCCCATTCCAGCAAGTTTTTAGCAGCGGTTATTCGGTGGCCTACTCGCCTTATTTACCTCACAGAATATCTGGAAAGAACTAGCAAATTTACAAAGTGCCAGAACAGAATAAAACAATCACAATAGAATGGGACAGATCAGAGAACACAGGCTGTGACATAAACACCAAACAATACATTTTATTTGGCTGCAAGTATATGGTACACAACTATGTCTTGACAAAGATAAGACGTGACGTTATGCTTCACAGACCCAAATTATCAATGTTGAATTAAAGCAAAATTTACCAGCACTGCTCCTCTGAACACTTGATTGATGTTATTTACTCATCATGCCACATATTGTGAGAGTGCTGTATTTTATGACTAAATAAGTTTAAGGGAAAGGAAAACTAATGGACACAGATACTTTTCTAAATTTTAGCTGAAATTAAGGTTTTTGTGTTCTGTCCATACAGAAGACATGTTTTATAAAAAAAAACATATAAAGCATAGACAAAAAACATACACTATGTTAATGATGAAGAGTGATTTCATATATTTAAACTTGGACGGCACTTATTAGAAACAGAAATTTGCTAATACAAGGCACTGAATGTTTGAAAGTGGAACTATCTTCATGGAATGACCCATAGACTCTCCAAAGTAAGGGTGCCAAATAGGGCACTTTGGAGTGATGCCAGAAAACAGTGTTTCCTAACCCAGTCCTCAGGGCCCCCCAGATGGTCCATATTTTTGCTCCAGACTAACTCACTGCACATAGGAATGAATGAAAAATGTGGACCATCTCTATCCCTTAGCTAGTCTGGCAATATGAAGCAGCTGAAAACGGACTCAGTGATAATTAGAATAGGGACAGCTTTCTCTTCAGCCACTGAGCGCCAGTCCTCTATTCCTGTTTTAATGGAAATTAAATCTTCTATTGTTATTGTAACGTAGGGGACGAGAAGCAAGCAAACAAGGCCACAGATACAAAATAAAGAGGAACTTGAGTAAATTTAGCAACAGAAACTTGTGGCTAAATAGTGATAATCACTCAAGTGAAACTGGGCACAACTGAACAACTGAAAGCAGACTAAAATCCTGTTTGAGGTAGTTTAGTTTTGTCTGGGAACGTATTGCAATGTAAGTGATTGATAACAAGACCTGTGACTTTAGTCAAGTACAAATCTTCAGTGTGTACAATTTTTTACAATATGACTAATAATGGTAAGGCCTTCTATAATTGAATGAACTCAGCTCTCTCTGTAAAAGTAGTCCTGTTTGGCCTCACAGAAAGTAATAACAAAACCTGCTTAAAGACACAACTGCCCTTCTGTGGCCTCCAGAGGTGGGAAGGTAGGCTAAACCTGTACTAAATAATGGTTTGAGTAAGAGTTAAAGTGTCTTTACAAAAACTTGAGTGAAAGTCCAGCGGTACCTTGTTAAAAAACTACCTTTGTGTTGAGTAACTTATGGAACAGCAGTGGAACTTCTTAGTACATCCAACATCTTTCAACACAGAAACTGAGGTTTGTTAGGTGCTGTTCTGTCACCTGTGTATTATGATGAAATTAAAGACAAAAAAGGAATTAGTAGCTGAATATTAATGTCTAAAATATAACTGAATAAATCAGATTGCTTTCACAAATAGATATAAAAGATGTAAAAGTATCAAAATTTTAAAATGTGAGGGAAAGTAATTTGTGGAAAGTAATTAGTAAAACTGATCGAGCCCAAATAGTATATGTGATAGTTCATGAATAAGAGTAGGTGTCAGCAGGCAGTGCTAATACAGAGCTGGAGCCAATGTGGACAAATCTGGAGCAGTGTTGTAGCTTCTAGTGCAAAGCTTCAGTTCATTACTGTCTCCTGCTGACAGATGCTCAAAACTGAATCCTCACATGTGAAACAGCAGCTCAGTAAGCTTCCGAAGCCTGGAATTGAGAACCTGCTGATAGAGCTTAAAACATTTGCCAGAATCTGACTACACCATTAGTTGAATTGTATTCGGTCACCTGATGGTAGGCGGAAAGAATGTTCTCTGAATATATTTGGGCTGGGACCAAAATATCAGGCCCAACTGAAGCTCAGACTCATCCTGACATATAAAGCTCTGTTTGTGGGCGGTAACAGTGTGAGTGATTGTATGTTCATGTTGATGGTAATCAAGTTACATCATAAAAGCTTGGTAACGATTTCTTTTACAGTTTCTTAAGTTCTAGGTAGTAACCAAAGAAATGTGAGATACAGACTCCAAAGTACTAGATGATTATATTTAACGTGATGGTTCCTAAATTCCAGTGAAATGACCAATGGGTTCTAGATATCAACCAGGTAAGTGTAAAGAGAGACAAACTCCAAAATTGTAATTATTTTGGGTAAAATGGTAGGTAACCAAGCCTACCTACTTGTCTTAAAGTGTCTTAATACTGCATTTGAAACCCTTATAACTACCTCATACATGGAACTGTTTTGTGTGATTTACTTTAATTATCCATTTATGAGAGATTTTAATATGTCCCTTATCAGCATAATATTTAGAATATGTTAGGTCAGTGATTACCAACCTGGTCCCTCAGGGGCCCCTTTTCACATATTTCCTCCATTCCTATGTGTTGTGAGTTAGGTGTAGTTAAGTTAATGTGACCGTCTGGTGAGCCGGGTTGGAAATTTCAGTGCAGTTTAGTTAGACTTTCTCAGTACTTTCCCCTATTTTGCTAAAATAATCAGACAGTACTTTGGAGTTTGTACCACTGGTTAATACCTAGAATTTGTGAAGAAAAGTTTTACCAAAAACTTTAGGTTAACTTCATGTAGCATTGCACAAACTTGGCAAAGGTTCTCTGCTTTTTTTAGCATTTTAAATTTGTGAATGATGGAGTGAAAGCCAGGACAAAAGATGGCCTGAACACAGGATCAGTGTTGAGCTGTTTGCATCTTATTTAAAGGGCTCTGAAAGAAAAATAGAACTGTTTAACATCTCATTAGCAGTGTAGGCATGTGTACTGAGCTACTGGGTATTAACCCTCCACAATGAGTAATCAGTACATAAGAAAAGTGAGCCAAGGTCAATGACCGTTTCACACACTTCCACTGCTGAATGGAAAATGCTAACCACACACATTTTCACAGAAGTCGTCTCATTAAAGTCTTCACTCACAGCTGCAGTCCCCAGGGATCTGTGCTGCATGCGTCATCAGCAGCGTGAACCTGTGTGACTGTGTGAGAAAAAGGAAAAGACAGGAGGGAGAAGTCAGTTCACCTGCAAAATATTGTTTTCTGCATGCTCTCTTCTTCACCTCTCCCTCCTGAGGGACAGTGATTGAATATGTAGCAAAGCCGATGTTCCTGCGTCACCCTGGTAGAGGTAAACATGTCTTACACTCAGGGGTGGATTTAATGATTTTAAGGCCTTAAGCAAGGACAGAAATCAAGCCCTCTGTAAAGTAGAATTAATATGTACCCTACTATTTTGAAGTTTGGAATTACTTGTCACAATCATTTTTGTTGTTGTTTTATACAATGATAATATAATGATTATACACTTCATACCAATAGATATTAAGATGTTTTGTTTAATATTTTTAACACTTTGAGAATAAAATTACTATTTTCTATGAAGTTATTAAATCCTAGACCCTGTAATGATCTATTTACAGTTATTTTTGTCAAGTTTTCCGCCTTAAGATTTGGTTACCACTTTTGAAATATAAGGCAATCTGCATATTACTTTTATTATAACTTCATTCTCAGTGGCAAACAGCTTTCTCAGTTATTTTAAAATTATATACAGCTCTATGCATCATTCTGAGCACATCTTTCTTAATTTTTGCATATTTGAAAACAGAGAAGTTGCACAGAACTATATAAGAATCATTGTATACATTTATCCTCACCCCAATTGTTTCTGTATAAGAAAGTCTTTAAATTTAAACTTTAAATTGAATTTAAAACTTTAATTAAACCTCTTTTCTACATGATGCATTGTTTGATTGTGAGCTACAGTCATGTTGTGTAAAAAGGAAAAAAATAAATAAATAAAAAAACAGAATGCAATGATTTTCAAATCTCGTAGACCCATATTTTATTCACAATAGAACATAGAACACATATCAGACATTGAAAGTGAGACATTGTAACATTTCATGAAAAACATTAATTTGTTTAGAACTTGACGGCAGCAACGCATCTCAAAAAAGTTGGGACAGGGGAAAAAAGGCTGGAAAAGTAAGTGGTACTAATAAAAAACAGCTGGAGGAGCAATTTGCAACTAACTCACATGATTGGATATAAAAAGAGCATTTTAGAGAGGCAGAGTCTCTCAGAAGCAAAGATGGGCAGAGGTTGACCAATCTGTGAAAAACTGCATCTAGAAATTGTGGAATTTTCGATTAAAAAAAATTATGAAGATTTACTAAAAGAGGTGCTAATTTCCAACAGTCTGCCAACACTTTGTGCTGGTGGGAGTGGCCAAATTAGCGAATTATCTACCAAGAACATCCATGCAGATGATGTATGTGTGTGTGTGTGTGTGTATGTATGTATGTATGTATGTATGTGTGTGTGTGTGTGTGTGTGTGTGTGTGTGTGTGTGTGTGTGTGTGTGTGTGTGTGTCTACCAACACTTTGTGCACTGTTATCTACCAAGAACATCCATGCAGGTAGACACATCTTCCTTATCAACATATGCCCAGTTTTTTTTCTATGTTTCTGGTTCAAATTGTGACATTATGTCAATATAATTATTTATTTTCTTAAGATTTTGACTTACAAAATAAAAAAAAAAATACTAAATCGAAAAAAAATGAGTTATTACTCTTTCTTATTAATTTGACATGTCATTATTTTAAGAAAATCAAACATTATTTTGACTTTCTATTATACTTCTATTATACTATTATAATTTCACTCAGTGCATCCTGGTCATTTGGGAACTACATGCAGTACATCAAAGGCTATGGCTTTTCTGTAACAGCTTGCACAGAATCCTCAGTGCACACTAAGTGACAAAGTAACTAGTACATTCTTTTACTAAATGATTCGGTTTAGAGTGCTAAAGAACCAGTGTTCCGGTTCAGTCAGTGGCACCTTAAAGTATAGTTTGCTACGGCACAAAATCTAGTAGATCTGTGTGAGTGAAACTCCAGGTAGGATTCTTTTGCTTGTGTTGCTTGTGTACAAACATCAAGTGATTTGTAATAGGTAGATAAGAATAAACAGTGCTAGTCCTTATGGCAGCTGCTGGCACCCTTACTAAATCTTAAATAGCTAAACGTGTGGAGTGTTCGGAAAAGAGAAGTCTATACAAGCTATAGCCTCGTAGGAACACAGATGTCTTTTGGCCAGGATCTTCTTCACACTGCAGTGTCATGGCACTGATAAAAATAGAAGGCTGGCAATCTGCAGCCATAAGCAGCCGTGTCCCACTGAGAGCGGGTGATAATGAAACACCTGAATGATACTAACACTAACTGCATTGAGCTCTCTGTGTCTGTGTAGGAGGAGAAGGACGGCGCTGATCTTTATTGAAAGCAGTGGCCTGTCCTTATCTCCGCACATACACACACACACACACACACACACACACGCTGCGGTTCAGTTTCTGTAAATCCATCATCCTTCCATTACCATGGAGACCATCCGTCCTTGCTAAGCTGCTTAGAACATTAATTGTATTTTTTTTTGCATTCATTACTCTACACACATCATCGGCCCATGGTTGAATTGTCCAGTACATGCTCCACCCACAAATGCATTTGTTCAGAGCCACTGCGATAATCAATGGATAAGCTTTGCAGAACTTTGGCGAAAAAAAAACGAACAAACATTAAACCTAATGAGAGACTAAAGTGGTGTTATCTAATAGAAACTAGCCAGGTTGGAAATGACAGGACAGTTTTGCCATTATGCTGACATGCACACCATAACACCCCCCTGCATCTGAACTAAAAGTGTAAACTTCTACAAGTATGCATAATACAAACCTTTGAAATAAAAGAGCCCATGTCATGAAAAACTTCATTTTCCTTAGCTTTTTTAAATAAAAAAGTATTATATAAACATACTGTAATATATAAACTTTGCTAAAGTTTCAAAACACACTGTTCTTTCACCAGTCCATACAGTCTATACAGTCCACATGTGGAAACTCAGCTGTGAAAACAGCCCATTTTGAATTCATTGTTTCTGTGATGTCACAAAAACCAAAACATATACAAATATACACCTATTCAGCCTACTGCAGTTTGGCTCTGCCTACTTATGGCGAAGTTATAAAGAGTGTTTCAGCTCAGAGTGCTTTTTAAATGAGGCACAATACAGGGCAGCCAATCAGAACAGAGCTCATTTACTTTTATCAGTCTTAAAGGCATAGTGACAGAAACAGCCTGTTTGTTTTTTTTGGAGCATGAAACCACACATTATAAGTGGACCTGAAGATTTCAAATTGCAAATCAATGGCAGATGTAGGTTATGAACCCTTTAATAATGCAGTGTAACTATTTTTTTTTTGTTTTGTTTTTTTTTGGGTGGGGGGTGGTTTTTAGACAAAATTTAGTTGAATGGTGATTTCCACCCCAGCGCCGCCCCCCCCCGCCCCCAACTACGTTTTACACCGCACATCCAAACTATCAAAAATTCTACAAATGCATGCATTTGTGGGCAGAAAGGAGTAATATTAAACCTATTCAAATTGATTGATGTTAAACCTCTTTTGAAAGCAAACCCCCAATTACGTAGAGGTAGACATATGCATATGCATTCGAGTGCCAGTAACTGTCATGAAAAGCAGTACTAAAGGCTGGAGAGTTACACTGAATCATACATTCATTGCTCCTGAGTGAGTGATTTCACCATAACAGAATAGAAGATAATTGATGGCTTTTAATAGGACCAGTAATTTTTACTGCAGTTCCTTATAAAACCATCCATAATTCTGTGAAAATTACCAATGCAATTACATTTAATAACCTTCATTAATCATGTTTTATTGAAGCTGTGCTAATTGCTTTCTACCTAAAAGCAATGCTGTTTCACTTGGAAGCTGCTTTTTGCAGACCATGAAGGGTGTTTTTAAGAGATGGCTCAGTGCAGAGGAGGCTGTTTCATTGCAGTCTTATGGACATTTGGTCACCATCACAAAAATAATGATGGTTATGTCTCTTATGTTCACCTTAAGATGCCGTCCAGTCCCTTATATAAGTGCATAAATTGTTCCTAAGCCATAGACTTATAACGCAGACTTAGACTTTGAAGGTATATAATGCAGTAGAGAACTGACCACCCTTTCCTTTATTTAATTTCCAGTCGAATTGGCCATTAAGGACTAGCTGTTCATGTTTCAGGAGATATTTCTGAGGAAATTAAACATAAGATAATTCACTTGCATAAGGAAGGAGAAAGTCAAAGTAAAATAAGTTTAAGTTGGAGCTCCAAAATTTTAGTGTAGAGAAAATTTAGAGAAAACAGGGCTCCTAACAGCTCTGCACCCCCCGCTAGATGACCAAAACTGTCACCATCAGATTAACAGGAGCTTTCATCTTTGACAAAATCAAACTCTTTCTCCAAAAAAAAACACTCTTTCTCCAGATCTGAAATAATCCACAGGTGTTTCTGTCCATTCTTCCACTGTGAGAAGACAACTCAACACTATGAGTCTGAAAGGACAACAAGCTATCAGGAAGAAGTTACTGAGAAAAGGAAACAGACAAAAAAGAACAACATTTGCAAATTAAACAAAGCTGCTGTTCTCAGAACAATGGACTGACCGCCCCGGGGTCTGGACCTCAGCCTCACTGAATTTGTTTGCCGTTAGTTGGGGAAAATTCAGCCAACTTCTATGACTGAACTTAGTAGTTTTGCTGATTTCTGTGAAAAAACTGAAAGCAGATCTCTCCAAAAGAATGGAAGCTGTAATAAAGGCAATAATAATAAAAGTGGTTAAGTTGTTGAGGCACATGTGTAATTTTCTGTTAAATATGTTTTCTGCTTTTTCCTGAACTTAATGGCCATTTTGACTGGAAATTAAATAACTGAAGGGTGGTCTCTGACTTTAACACAGTGCTGTATATAAAATGTGTAAAGAGTCTTTTACCAACTTTGTTTCAGATACTGTTTGGTTTTTGCCCTGGCTTACCTCAGCTTCTGCCAGATCACGCGGGTGTATGTCTTTGACTATGGCATGTACTCAGCTGACTTCACAGGGTAAGAGAATGCTTGTGTATGTGTGAAATTGTTCAAACTATGTTGTTAATTAAGGCAGCCTGGTTGTCTTTGTGTTTCTATGAGAGCACATTCGTTCCAGTAACTAATATAATTTTTCTCTTTGTATTGCTCTGCTTCCTCTTCTTCTGCCAGGCCCATGATGGTCATCACACAGAAGATCACCAGTGTGGCCTTTGAGATTCATGACGGTGAGTGTTGCTTTGCTGCTGGTGTTTTCTACATTGTGGAGTTCTGTGCTGATGCCAAAAAGGAAATGTTCCAGGGTGGATCATTTGTAAAAAGATCCCACAAGTCTCATAATCTGATTCACTGAAATTCCCTGTTCCTTTTCCATTTGTGCTTGTGTTTTCTCATATTCCTTTCATCCACTGATACTTCACCGGTGCTTCACTACGGTTCGAAAGTCCCCATTTAAACATTTGGAATCACTGTTTTAGATAAGAATAGATAATAAATGTTTCTGGTAAACTGTGCAATGTCATAGACTTCAACTATTTAGTAAGAAACTGTGAAAACTGATGAAATGTTAGATGTGACCCAAATGATGAACAGAGCTGTAGAAGAGTCCATAATGATTAAGAAAGCTCTATAACGTCAAGGATGAAGTTGTAGTAAATACACTGCTTAGACATGTACATTAATAGACAAGTATATTAAGGGAAAGCACAACTTGGGGTAAAATGTTTTATGTAAACTGTGCTTTGGTCAACTTCTCCTATTCCCACAGCAACACCATCTGCAAATTTTTACAGCAATCAGGCAGATTCTTCTCATGATACAGAGGTTTTTCTACCGTAAAAGTAAATTTCTCCACACCTATGTTATTTCAGTCTTAATCTCCCTCTTGGTGGCTGTAATACAGCTCTATTATGAAGTGACTAGAGATAGTCAGATTAAGTACAGCCTCCACATGCTGGGGTTAGTTTTAACACAGTATTACAACTAACCCTCAAAAAATAGAGATGTCCATACCCTCCCATACAAATTCAGCCTAGTCAGTTATGTCTGGATGTTTATTATGCACGTCTAAGTAGACATACTATAGATGTCGTATAAATAAAATATATTCTCCTTAATTGCTGTTCTATTTGCTCCTCTACTTTTTGGTCAGAAAAAAAGCCTCTATTATGAATCTCATTTATTCTGATTAATAGATTTTTATGTATTTATGCTGATAAACTAGTCTTGAATTGAATGTGTTTGCTTTGATTGATTTGATTAGCCCCTCTGTCCATTACAGTGAACATCCCTATGGGATTAGTTGTAACCATTGGCTAAACATTTATAGGCAGTAGATGTTGAAAACAATATTTACATCTACATCTAGCTCAAATACCTTGTGGTGTCTTGTTTATAGTATGTAAATTTATACTACAGGTTACCATCTATACATCTATTAATATGGCAAGTGAGTCAAACCATTGGAGAAAAGTGTACATTTTGTGTCATATTGTGTTAAATATGTCAAAGATCAAACTTAAGTGTGTTGTCGTAAATGGACACTGGAAGTTTTTAAAAATAATACATTACGTGCTGTTCTTGACATTTGTTTTGTGAGTGTTTTTGACTTATAGTAAACCACACATCTCTCTCACTTTCTTTTGCTGTCGTTGTTTCACTCATTCACTTCATTCACATGTACCTCTAGAAAAGTGGGCACTGCTCTGTATGCAGAGTGCAGGTGTTCTGAGAACGACTGCAGCTAAAAGCTCAGTGAAGCTAATTAAAGCGCTGGGAGATGGATGATGGAGCAAGGCTGAAATTAAAGCAGGCAGAGTGGCCTTCTGTCCTCTCCTCTCCTTTTCCTCCGCTTCATAGGATGAGAAATGACCCTTGTCATGTCAGTCCCACGTTGCACAGCTTCATACCACTGATATTAACAATCCACAAGGAAGACTTCTTTTAACCCAGATTTCTCAGAATGTTTCTCAGGAGGTTTTACTTTGTTATATTTTAATATTATAACTGTTTAGTTTGGAGGCACAGCCATCTAAACATTGGCCCTGTCATCAGGAGTTGAGTTTGATCTCTGGCGATGCCACAGCCATCTGTGGCAGGGAGCGTAATTGACCTCGTCCTCTCATCACTCAGTCTGAGAACGCCAAATGCCAGTAGACCCCTTTTCACACTTCTGTATCCAAAGTTGTCATAGTAGGGAAAACATTACAGCAGTGGTGCCATTTTATGAATAAGAGGGATGCATTTTTGTGTCATTATTTAGGTGTTTAACTAACTTTACCACAAAAGATGTCATTTGGTGAAGCACTTTAAATTGTTAGAAAAGAGCAAGCTTGAGAAGGGGTACTTTAAAGGTAGGCTACTGACACTGCTACAGCACTGGATGGGTGAGAACTACAGATTTAAAGAAGGTAAAAAGCTGTCTGTATATAGGAGACAGAATATGTAACATTACCTATAAATGCAATATAGATAGATAGCTAACATTCTGTAGATGTGCCACTGAGCTGTATTTCTCAGGGTTCTGTGTGGCGATTGTGTTGTTTAGTATGTTTTAAAGCTTTTATGTTAACATTAAAGTAAATGTTAACATTAGTGATATTATTGCAGCCTATGTTAGCTTACATAGGAACATTTACAACATTAGACACTGAACAACACAACATTAACATGCCAGTGTGAAAATGTAAAAATGTAAAGTTAAATCGCTTAATATGACCAAAACTCAATGAGGTATAATTGGCTACATTAACTTCATCCCCAGCTTGCACAACATTGACTGTATTGTAGTAAACTTTAGACAGCTAACATTTGCTGATCTCATTAAATAACGTATCTTAACTTACCATAGTCAAGCAAGTAATTCTTAAAGAAAGACTTGTAGGCTTGTCAAGCTGGCTCCTCTCTGAAAATGAAAACTGCTAGAAATATCTCTTTTAGGTAAATACCTTAATAAGGACGTTAAAATAAGTGAGTACTCCGTATCATAGAAATTATAAAGAAAGACGTTGTCTACATTCTGATTCACAGACGCCTCCGTGGCGTCCACCACATCGAATATGAAAGCGAGAAAACAGGTTTTTGGCAGTTAATGTTCTTCTCAAAGTGTGTGGAGCTGTCCAATGATGACGTGCTGTTCTAGGACATTACAGTCTTGTTAAGTGACTGCAGGATGGCCATAAACTGTGATGGGTTGGCACTTTTTATTTTAGTTACATTTAATAATATCTGCCATTTTTAAACAAGGACCACTTTTAGATATGGCTATAGCATATTTAATAAACTAAATAAATGAATGCATTTAAATAAAAATAAAAATGACTAAGTAGAGATACACCGTCTGAGATTTTTCTGCTGTTCCCCGTGTGGGCCTCCAGTTTGAGAACCGCTGACTTACAGTGTTACTCTAATGAAACAAATCAACTTGCTTTTTCCTTTGTTATGCTTTTTTATGAGATGAAGGTGGCTTAAAGGTTAGTGAGACTGAAAATGGGATGTAAAAAAAGACTGTATGAACTTATGAACTAACCAGTGTAATAAATTTGCATAGTTCTGAACAGTGACTACTGACTTTCATTAGATATTAGCATTAATTGTTAGGATATCTAACAGAATGATTCATTTTTAAGTCTAAGATTATATTTATCCCAGAGATGCGTTATATTCTTTTTAGCTAATTTAATGGAAAAAAATGCACTATGTAAATAAATAAAGTACAGTGTCAAATGCAATCAGGTGGCACATATAGGCATACCCATTAAAAAATAGAACGTGTTCTGAGGAAGCAAAATTACATAAATGTCAGATTTATTCCAAAAATAACCAGGATCTCCTGAAGTTCTTAAAACTGAGTGAGTAAAAGTGGTCACTCCCTTCCTTTGGCCACTCACCCTGTGCTAGGCAGTAACGGTAACGTGAGCTAATTAGGTGCCTTATCTCATTATCAGCAAAATGACTGCAATAAAACAGCATTGAATATTTTTCAAGCCACTTCCTCTGGGTCATCTCCCTTCTTCATTCACTAAGAGGAGGATGCCTGTTGGACGCAGGTAATTTACAGCTTGCTGCTGTCCTCCTCTAATTAGCTCCATTCATCAGCCTCAGCAGCGAGAGTTAAAAGGAAGCCTATTGTTACTGGCCGAAGAGACTGCAGCGGCATGCAGCCTCGTTTCTGAGGGGAAACTTCCTTATCCTCAGGGTTTGGTCTTAAAGCTTCCTTTGACTTTGAACACATGCTTAGCACCTTCACTTTACACTCTCAAATCCAATCGACGCCAGCTGTTCTCTTCCTCTTCTCGTGTGTTATGATGTTGTTCCTCAGTGATGGTGTGTCTTCGTTTTGTGTCTGTTCTGTCATCAAGCTCATTTTCCTTTGACTGCAGTGGGGCAGCTGATAGATCATCACTGACAAACCTTATTGTATTGTGCTTTCAACAAAGCTTTCATTCATTAAACATGTGGCAAATGAACAGAGCTCTGACATCACTGTGTCTTGTTGGAAAATAATTTGGAAGATAACTTGGAAAGAGGCCGGTTAACTTTGAATTATTGATGTCTCAGCTACATGTGTGAAGTGTTTAAGATAAATAATTTTTTTTCTCTCTCTGTGTTGACAGGAATGGCCCGGAAAGAAGATCAGCTCACTCAGAGTCAAAAGCTGTTGGCCATACGGTGTGTACCATGCAGACAGTGGTTTCCTAAAAGCATTGTAGTGTTAAGACCATCTTGACTGGTAGAGAGTGTTCAACGTGATAGGAGTTTTTGATATGCATTGGGCAAACTATTATGGGTAAATGGTAAAACGTTGAAGATTATACACCAGGGGGAGTGGGTTGTTGCAAATAGCATCACAGCTGATATTTGATCGCACAGGCAAGCCACATAGCCACATCATCGCAGCCAGCATTATTAATAAAAACATACAACCTCTTACTTTATACAACAGTTCTGCTGTTGTCCTGTAGAAATGTCTTGCTATGTAATGTGTTTAGTGCTGTGTTATATGTCATATTGTTCAGTATTGTGTGTGCCTGTACTGTGACTGTATTTAGAGTACTAAGAAAAAAAATTAAAAAGTAAAGCAAAGTAGCCCCAAATATTGCATCAAACACACTTTAATATTGGCAGTTCCTTTCACCAAAAAGAGTAGCCTTTTGCTGTGTAAGTAGAACCATAAAAGTGTCACAATATCAGGTTCAGCTCAGTTTTTTCAATATTTGCCAGATTGTTATTTTGCTCCCAACGGTCTGTAAAGCACCGGTCTTCACAGCCCTTCTTATTTCCCAGATTAAGTTCTGAAAGGGTTTGGCTAATCCCAGTTTGCTTAGTTGTTCCTCCGTCACAGTTGCTGACCAAAAGTCTTGTTCAGAGTTTGTAGTCCAGCTGTCATACTATTCTTTAGAACCACTAGTCTAATGTGTATATTTTCTGTTTTTGTATGGGCTTAAGTAGACACTTATTAACAGTTAGCTACAGCATGATGTCACAAATAACTGTTGTGTAAAACCTTGTAAAAGTTTCGTCCTAAAGCAATAATTTTGCAAAGAATCAAATTTTCACAGCTCAAATGAAGGCACTCAGCTAAGACATTTTAGTTGTCTGACATTTGCGTCTTTTGTTTTGCACTGAAGCTATGAGGCTACCTGTTGTAACAGGATTTCCATCAGTTGGCAGTGTGCGAAGTGCGTACCTAAATAAACACATCCTGGCCTCAAACTCAGTTGTTAATAATCTCAAATAGACCTGCCATTGTGGTTTCTGGCAAAATGTTACCTATAAAAATGAACCAAAGTGCTGATTTAGGTGTGCAGTTCGCAAGATGCTAATTACGTTTTGGCATGTAAGCTTTAGTTACTTGTTAGCTACATTAGCCTCATAGCTCCAGTACAAAACTAAAGCAAATATCAGATCTTGTGTTTGTTTATCGTTGTTTGTTTCACTATTGTTTTAATATGGGGTTTCTGATGTTGTTAGCCGTCTAGTGAAGTCATCCTTTGTTGGCTTTGTGTTCAGGCGGATGCCCAGTCTCCTGGAGTACTTCAGCTATAACTGTAACTTCATGGGCATGCTAGCCGGCCCCACCTGCTCCTACAATGATTACATCGCCTTCATTGAGGGCAAACCCTTTCGTCACAGAGAGCAAGAGACGAATGGGAAGCTGCAGGGGAAAACCAGACTAAACGACCCTTCACCTAATGTATGTAGATGGGGCTTTACTAAATTTATGCGCAGCGTTTAGCAGCAGTCACATTGTGGTGAAGTTCCTGACTCAGAGCAATTATCATTGTATCTTCATTGAATATTTAAGTGGTTGCATTCAGCAGAGACTTTGAGCTTTTAATGAGCATTTAAGTACTCTGTATATACGAGAGCAGTATCAACAGAGCAAAAAAAAAGCCTGTTTACTGATCAGCCTAGTTATCCAGAGTTACTCTGTTCTTCGTTGTATTGATGGATTGATGGAAATACAATAGCCTTTCGGGAAATCTCCCGGATAAGCAGCATGAATTGGGAATATCAGTGCCAATTAATAATTTGATAGATTTTTTAAAAATGATATTATCTTTGAATGCTTGGAAAGTTATGATTCATATAGTGAATAGTGTAATTACTCTCTACATGTTAATTGAAAATCATTGTCTTTGTGGCCTCCATCATGCTTTTTGACTAGCCATTAAATTACAGCCATTGTAAGGAAATTCAATTTTATGAATGTACTGTTGATTAGATTGAGCCATTATATTGAACTAGAAAGGCTATTGCATTGATGATCACGGTCTGTCTATTACAAGAAAAAAAAAGAATAGGCTTCTGTTTTCTTCCTTTATAAACTTACCCTTCTGTTTATAAATGTTGTTTGATATGACTGTTCACACATTACTACACCTTATTGTATAATGCTATTTAGTGAATGAAAAGGCTGAATGTTCTTCTGTCTCGTGTCATTGGCAGACGGAAGTTCTCCGCAAGCTGGCCACCTGCTTCATCTCTCTGTCAGTCTTTCTCTCCGTCTGCAAAGTTTTTCCTGTAGAGCGCAATGTCGATGATGACTTCATTGCCACCACACCCTTCTACGCCCAGGTGGTCTACCTGTATCTGTCCATGCTGACCACCCGTCCTAAATACTACTTTGTTTGGACTCTGGGTGCGTTTCTCTTCACTCTCTCTCTCTCTGTCTGTCATCTATGGCGTACTTGCACTGTTTCCCTTTTTGCTTTGAGTTTCGCACTTTTCTCCTTTCTAGTAAAATTTGAATGGGATTATTTTTACACAGGGAGGTAGGATAGTGTAATTTCACCACAGGACACCAGTAAGGTTTATTACCACTTCGCACGGCATAAGAAATCTCTGTATAAATTACAGAGATGGGTGTGGCTACTCTTGTTTACGCATTGCTGTTACACCCAAAAGGAAAAATTTAATTCAGTTTAGTGTGCCATTAGCATCGCCATTAGCCTGGAAATTTACAACCGCCAGCCGACGTTGGCGGATATAACCAGATTTTTTTTCTTTCATTTTACTTGTTTTTATTCAGAGTACACTTGAGGAAGGACAAAGCATATCAGCTTGATTTGGGACACGGAGAATATGAGTAGATATGAAGATATGAGCTTCTTTGAGTGCCTCAGTGCTTAAGAAAAACTCATTTTCCACAGGGTAAGATGTAATATTTACCGACATTGCAGTTTACACAGAATTAATGTAACATGGGGTTATTTATACAGTTAGGTTTAAAGAAGGCAGAAGCCTCTGGAGTCTTTACTAAAGTAGAAGTGTGCAGTCCTTAAAGATTGCTGAAACGGCAGATTCAGACAGGACTAAAATCGTTGAGAAACACTAGTAATAATCGCTTTACACCGCCTTCCCATGTAAAAATAATCCTGTTTAAATAAAACTTATGAATGCAGTCTTTAACGTTGCTGTTTTGTTGTTTAGTATTTAAAGGAATAGTTTGGCCAAAAAATTGGATTTACCCAATTTTCCGCTTACCCTAGATGTAGTTAGTCAGCCAAGATGTTTGGTGTCAAAATTTTGCTTCTTTAGTTTAGCGCTAACATTGCTAACAAACACAATAACGTAATAGTGACTAAATCTGGGGTAAGAGGAAAATTGTGTAAATTAGATTTTTTCCCAACCATTCGTTTAATATGTAATTTACTAGAAATTGCATCTTACTTTCTGTAACATTTTCTCTCCCTTCACAGCCTTTTATTCTTAATGGGAGGGAAAATGAACCAAACCTAATCATTCAGTTCTGACTCATAACATTATCCAGCCCTCCATTTGTCCTATTATTTACTGCCCTCATCAGACTAAAGAAGGAATTGCAAGTGGGGAAATTATATCTATTCATTTGCTTGCAGTATGTGAAATTTTGAGATCAAGAACACCCTGATTGACAGATGACTCTTAGAAAAGCGTCCAAGTGCTGCACTGTTCATGATGTGTTCTTGATTCTCTAAAACTGCTAACAGTGACATCACTTCCCGTGTATAATCTGGGACCTCTGTGTCCTTCCCCTCGCAGCTGATGCTATTAACAATGCAGCTGGCTTTGGCTTTAATGGCTATGACAGTGATGGATTGCCACGATGGGACCTCATCTCCAACCTGAGGATAATGAACATTGAGGTCAGTCTGTGTCGCCATTGCTTTTTTTTTTTTTTAAATTATGAATTAAATGTGAGCACATCACTTACCATTCCTGTTTTCCTGTTTCAGTTAGCCACCAGTTTTAAGGTGTTCCTTGATAACTGGAATATACAGACTGCACACTGGCTCAAAAGGTAAGAGTGGTGATGGGCTTTAGAGAGTCTTCATTGAGAGTGCTGTAATTACTTTTTCAAGATTCTGTTTTCGTAATTACACAAATGCTGTGAATGTTTAACATAAGACGTGACCCACATTGTATGCAGAGCTGAGTCTGGAGTCATAGAGTAATGAATAGTAATCTATGAGGCTGTGTGCCATCTACTGGTGTCAAATGGTATTACTGCTGCAGCATGAAACTGTTTTATAACAAAGGCCCTGTTCATAATTGGCATTAACATGTGTCTTGAGTGATCTCGTAACAATTACACAATGAGACATACAGCTGTTTACATCTGGAATTTCCATATTTTTTTAATGTGAATGGATATGGAATCAGACATTAACCAATAATGTGTTCTGAACAGATACAAATACAGATAAGAACACATACTTTCAAAATTTGTAAACAAAAATGATGTGCACATTCTGGCAACAAAAGCGAAGCATCCTATCATTAATTATCAGAGAGAGACAATGTAGGAATTTTCTGGTGTTATTTGTGTTGAAAAGATCTGAATGTTGTGTATATGGTTGTTTAAGCTGTTATGCATCTGGTAAGGGCTCTGAAAAGATTGTGTTCTGGTGGGATTCTGTAAAATGTAAGCTATTGACAAGGCTAATAGGTTCACAACTGTGTACACAACGGCCATTTATTGTGACTATTACCTGTGAATTATGTAGGTTACCCCACTGGTGTGTAGCTTTATTGTCTCTAACTGTACTTTATCAGCACTCTCTAGAGTAGTCTGATAACTTGGCCACCAGAGATATATATATGTATATATATTCATTTTTTCTATCTCTTCATAATTAAATTAAATGCAGCTTGTAGGATCCCATTGTGACTAGCAGCTGCACTTAATTCCAGCTTCGTAGTACATTCTAGTAGAACTTTTTTAAACTTGCTGAAATGTAAACCCAAAAACCAAAGAAAAGTAAATCTAATATAACATCATGTAGTGACCATATTTGTCAATTATAAATACAACTGAATACAAAATAAAACAAAAAAACAGTGCCAAAAAAAAAATTAAGGCCACACCCACTTCCAGATACAAGCCATGTCTTAAAGCCAAGCCCACAGCCAAGGAAGGCTGTGTTTCTCAGCCGTTACATCACTGAAGGCTGTCTCGTTTTGTGGAATCTTGGGAACGTGGTCAAGAAATGCGGCCTTCATTTCTGACAAATTGAAAGACTTATCTGGTATATCCTTTGAGATCTTAAATCACCCACAATCCTTGAGGCACAGCACAGGACCGCTGGAAAAATACTGAAAACAGCAATGAGTGATGAGATGCTGTTGCAGCAAATTTGTAATAAAATCTAAAATGTAATTTATTGTTGTAAATATTAGATTTAAATGTGTCATGTTGCCTACATCAGTAAGGTTGTGCGTGAGCACTGAAAAGATTTTGTATACCAGTGCTAGCAAGCTCTCTCCTTCCTCGACTGCAGCCTTCACTTTGAGACACGCCTACAGATACAGATATTTGGAGCACCAGACAGATACAGACAGATATAGCGGTACTGCAGTACACCCCTAGTTACATGTATGGGCTGTTACAAATGTTTTGAGTGCAAGGACTTACAAACAAATGAGAGGAAATTATGCAAAGCAGCCACTTTCCGCTCTTCTGTGATTGTTGTCAGGGACACTTTAGTGTTCACACTACAGATGTTGTGGCCATATGCATCTCTGACCACCAAAGGTGCTTTCAGTGATTGGATTACAGTGTGTGCCCAATACGTCTGTACTTAGAGCTGCCCCCCTTATGATTGGATCACCCAGTATGTGTGGTTTCTGTTGTTGTATGATCTGCTGTTATTTATATTTTGGACAAAAGTATAGACAAAATTCAGGCTTCAGTATATCATACAGTGTCAGAAACCACATAAGCAAGTCTGACTGAGATTACTCAACAATTTGACGCACTTCAGGCACATGTGATGATTTATGAATGCAGTTTGCGCAACGCTGACCTGGTGATTATACAGTTTTACGCAGACATTTATGACAGTGTGGCAGACAAGTGAAAATAAGTTAACACATGCTCTACAGAGAATACACTGCATGCAAACCTTAGTACACAAATTCTGTTTTTTTGCAGAGTTGAACATATTGGGGAAAAATATTGTGCCATAACTTGTGCACAGGGCACTTTTTTGTTTTTTTTAATATTATAAATAAACAGTAACTGTGCCCTGTAGTGTGCAGAAGTGTGTTCCTGTGGAGGATGTTTTGACTTATTTTCATTTAGTAATTTAACAAGATATGTAATTTGACCATCGCTGTCCAAAGAAAAATATATATCTCCAATATGGTAACTTTACCTTAACTTATATTGACAGTAAAGAAAGTGTTTGCCCTCTCCTGTAGAGAGATTTCATTCTAAGCAATCCTGAAGCATTTCTATCAGACCATTCATCATGAAATTTTCACACAGTGTAAAGGACAGCTGCCATTCTCAAAACTACAAATCTACAAAAAATGGTATTAAAAAATGAAAAACTTAAGAAGCAGACTTCTGACACCAAACATGTCTTGGCTGATCAACTACAACTGGGTGAAATTGGGGAAAATTTTATCAATGTATCATATCAGTACTTATCTTGTCCAGCATTACTTAGAACCCCCCCCCACCCATACCCTCAGGTGTTACTACATGCCCCGGAGGGTCTTCTCTTGATGTGTAATGTATGTGTGTGTTCGCAGGGTGTGTTACGAGCGCTGTCCTTATAACCCCACGGCCGCCACCTTCCTGCTCTCGGCAATGTGGCATGGAGCTTATCCAGGCTACTACCTCACCTTCCTCACAGGCATCGTGGTCACACTGGCTGCCAGAGCGGTGAGGAGCCTCCACACCACACCACACCACCCCACATTCAGGATGCTGACATTCAGGGGTGTATGTAGATCTTGGACACCATTAAAATTAGTTTGTCTTGAGCCTGAAGAAGGAGAAGTAAAAGGATATCTCACATTTCAAATTTAAGCTGACAGCTAATGCCTCTTGAATGCCTCTTGATTTTGCAGTAATTGAATAACAAACTACAGTTACTGCAAAAGAAAAGTAGCTTGTTGTGGAGTTCACTGCTTTTCCTCCTCACAGAGAAGGTTAATCTTCTAGGCAGCAGAGAAAGACTGAAGGTTTCCACTCAAGCACCCACTTACAGCTGCCCACACAGCTCAGATTTAACTAAGATGGAGAGAAGGTTCAGTAGAGGGTAATGAATCGTTACCTGTCTAGATTTAAAATGCTGTGAGCCATGCAGAACCTAATAGTTAACCTCAGAGAAATGGCTGATTCACTGCTTGCTGAGTTTTATGTGTGCACCTTATGTACTGTAGTATTATTATTTTTTTCAGATTTCCAATTAGAGCAAACATTTAACAGTGTTTTTGCCATTTTCATTCCATTCCTTTTCACTATTCCTTTTCTTTCTCTTTCTTTCTTTTCTTTTTTTTCTTGTACCTTCTTTCCTTATTTTTCTGTCTTTCTTTGTTTCCATCTTCCTTCTTTCTGTCTTGCTTTCTTTTCTTCCTTTTTTCTTTTTCCCTTTGTCTGTTTTTCTTTGGTTCTTTTCTTTCTTGCTTACTTTCCTTCTCTTTATTTCATTCTTACTTAATGTCTTACTTTCTTACTTACCTGTTTTTTTTTTCTTGTTTTCTTGTCTTTCCTTTTTCTCTTCTTTCTTTCTTGCTTTCTTGCTTTCTTTTAGGTGAGGCACAATGTAAGGCCATACTTCTTGGGTTCACCAACACACAAATTTGTGTATGACGTCATCACGTGGGCCAGCACACAGATAGCCATCTGTTACACTGTGGTGCCCTTTGTGTTACTTTCTGTGGGTCCGTCCCTCAAATTCTACAGGTGAAAGATGCGCCAAAACATCATAAATCATACATTGTTCTTACTTTACTTTATAAACAATTTCAAACAAGGTTTGCTTATTTCATTAGTAATCTGGTAAAATAGTGTTAATTTAAACATTAGAAACATATGGGGGCAAAATTATGTAAAAGAAGAGATGATATTCTATATACAAATCATATTCTTTGGCTTCTCTCTCTCTCACCCTCCTTTGCAGGTCTTGGTACTTTTCTGGGCACATAGGCTGTGTACTGCTGGCCATAGCTCTGCCGGTGAAGCCTCGGCATCTGCGGCTGAAGGAGCAGCAGAGCCTTTCCTCAAGCTCCGACTCCACAGACAGCCAGAAACAGAAAGCCACATGAGCCCAGACCCTGCACCCCCACTGCGGCACAGAACACACTCAGATCGGCCAGCGCTCCTACTCTGCAGCCACCCACGCGGAGAGTCAGACGATTAAAACTCAAAAACAAACATCCAAACATCCAGCCTCTGCCTGGACTCGTCCGGTGGGGCGTCATACTAATCTCGGCTCTAAATGGCGGCGCCAGGACTTGGCATTGACTTGAGGGGAAGGGTTTGATGGGTTTGAATCTGACTGGTGGCAGCGTTACGATGAGCAGCAAGTGAAGCTCTGATGTACAGAAATATGCAAACCTGCCTTTACGCTCCCCATTGCCACCACAGGCATTGTTACTTTAACATGCAGGATTTGTTTTGGGTATGTATATAGCATTACCTTGCAGGAGACAGTGCCACCATTAGAATGAAGCTGATGATGGTGTTTCTAAACACTTTCAATGTTTGTGATGATAACAAAACACCTATTCAAATAAATTATTTGAAAGTGGGGGAAAAAAACATCCAGTGACAGACAATAGCTTGCCGCCATGCCAATATGTCAATGTGCATTTAGTCATTATTTCCCCATTCATCTTTTACTCTCTTGAGTTAGGCTTAAAGAAAGCCTTCTCTTCTTCTCAAAGACGCTGTAAGTTCATTTGGAGATTTAAATCCATGGCAGTGCCATCGTAACAAGGTTCTTCAGTCCATGTCATCTTTAGTATAGTGTGTGTGAACATCTCTTGTGCATGAGGTTTGCATATCTTCAGATTTGCCCCATGGCATAAACACTGCAGACCCGTCTCTGCTGATTCAACATGATGCTTTAAAAAGCATTTTCAGCACATTCCATTCTAAAGTTCAGTTTCTTTTCAGTTCTAGAAACACACTTTCTAATGATAATATTTCAGAATTAGCCTGAACTGAGAAAAAGGCTGTGGATTTGAAATATTTGCCCAGACACTCAAAGCCCAACTTCAGATTTCATGTTTTTTTGTAAATTATGTGATTAAAAGAAAACCTTTTGCAACTAGACTTGGTGTCGCATGTCTGTACACTCTTAAAACCAGGGTTTTTTCAAGGATTCTTTAGGAAAGGTAATGGTTGTACAGGCCTCCAGAGAGCAGTGATTTTTGACCAGTATTTTAATAAAAACAGTAATGACAGTATATTTAATGTTTAACCTTCTGAACTGTCTTTTGAAAATATATGCTCATTCTGAAATTAATGCTTGCAACACATTTAAAAAAAATTGGAACAGGAGAAATTTAAGACTAGAAATACTGGAATTCAAATTTGGAACAAGTGTATATTTACTAAAAAAAACAATGTTTATATGGTAATGTGATTTTTCAACCTCTTTTCAATTTAATACTTTCTATTTTATTAGCATTTCACATACTGTCCCAACTTTTTTGGAACAGAGGTTTGTAGAAACACTCATAGAGCACTTTATTAGGAACACTATAGTAATACTGGGTAGGGCTTCCCTTTGATCAGCCTCAATTCTTCATGACATGGATTCCACAAGATGTTGGAAACATTCCTTTGAGTTTCTGGTCCATGTTGACATGATTACATCATGGAGTTCCTGCAGATTTTTCAGGTGCACTTTCATGCTGCCTTATCTGTGGATTCAGATCCGGTGACTGGTAAGGCCACTGAAGAATATTTGAATTAATTGTCATGGTCAAGTAACCCAACTGAGATGACTTTTATTTTGTGACATGGTGCATTATCATGCTCTAGGTAGACATTAGAAGATGGGTAAATTGTGACCATGACGTTATTACTTTATAGCACCATTCTGAGTAAACTCTAAAGGATATTGTGCAGGAGGTCAACAGTTCTCAAACCAATCTGTCTGGCACCAACAATCATGTCATGGTCAAAATCAGTGAGATTACATTTTCCCCCCATTCTGATGGTTGATGTGAACATTACCTGAAGCTGCTGGCCAATATCTACATGATTATATGCACTGCACTGCTGCCACATAATTGTGTGATTAGATAATTGCATGAATGAGTAGGTGTACAGGTGTTCCTTAATAAAGTGCTTGGTGAGTGTTAAACCATGACAACTGAAAGGAACATCTGATTATTTAAATGGTTCTTTGTAGGTCAGAAAATGGTCTTTTACTTATTTGTGCTATTCTAATCATGCTAGAGTTGATGGCACAAGGTTATGATGGTCATTAATACTCTCTGTTGCATCTTTTTTTGTTATTAATAATAATAATAGCCCTATTATTAGGTCTATTATTAATTTAATACTATTATTAGGCCAATTTTTGTTATTATTTTTATTGTTTGTGATCTCAGGAATGAAAGATTATATAGATCTTCATATTCCAAATTATGTTGTACTCCTGTTGCTGATAGACAGAAATATCAGCATTAGCTGGAACACTGATCTTTCAGTTCTGTTCATCTTACAGTACAATACACAGTGTTCCTGCTGTTGAGTCACAATCCAGAAGCTGCTGACATGAATCCTCCATGTGTTAATAGTAAAAAAAAAATGTGTGGTCACTAGTCTGGAGAGATAAAGAGGGGTTACCTAACGTCTTACACAAACTCCTACTGTATTTATCAAAGCAATATTGTTACAGTCATACAGCTCAACACCTGCCCTTTACTCCCCAACCATAAATCTTGCACTTTGTGCTGTTAGTGAATGCAGTGCATGTGCACAAATTCCACTGGATAACTAGTACTAGTAACATAAAACATTAACAAGAAAACATGTGACAGCTGGTCATAATACAAAACACAATTTTTGATCTACAGTAATGAGTAGGTAGGGAGGAGTGAACAGTAACTTATTAAAGTTACTCAAATTCATATACTTAAGTAAAATCTGAACCTTTTCTAAATGTTTTAAATGATAATATAAATGTTGATTATCTGTACTAAATTATTGAGGATCAGGACATAATTTTACTTAGTTCCATTTCAGTCATTCACCTTTAGTTCCCAGTTCCTTTAATTTCACTCTGCTGCGTTGATGACAGCACTTGTTATTGCTCACACCTCACTTTGGAGCTTAAGCACTTTATTTTAACCTCAAAGGATCCCAAAGAAAGACAGGATCAGAGCCTAATAAGCTTAATTTTCTGTGTTCACAGATGGGTTTTTCTCACAAAGTGTGACAAAAACTGAAACCCAACCTGAGAAAATTAGAATAACTAAAACTCAGCTCTCTATTTTGTATATACTCTGATCAGCCATAACATTAAAAGCACCTCCTTGTTTCTACACTCACTGTCTATTTTATCAGCTCTGCTTATTATATAGGTGCACTTTGTAGTTCTACAATTACAGACTGTAGTGTTTCTCTGCATACTTTGTTAGCTCGGTTTTACGCTGTTCTTCAATGACCAGGACCACCACAGAGCAGGTATTCTTTGGGTGGTGGATCATTGTCAGCACTGCAGTAACACTGACGTGGTGGTGGTGTGATAGTGTGTGCTGCGCTGGTATGAGTGGATCAGACACAGCAGTGCTGCTGGAGTTTTTAAAACACCTCAGTGTCACTGCTTGACACCAACCAAAACCATCCAGCCAACAGCATCCTGTGGGCAGCATCCTGTGACCACTGATGAAGGACTAGAGGATGACCAACACAAACAGTGCAGCAATAGATGAGTTACTCTTTCTGACTTTACGTCTACAAGGTAGACCAATAAAGTAGGTGTGTCTAATAGAGTGGACAGTGAGTGGACACAGTGTTTAAAAACTCCAGCAGCACTGATGTGTCTGATCCACTCATACCAGCACAACACACACTAACATGCCACCACCATATCAATGTCACTGCAGTGCTGAGAATGATCCACCATCCAGATGGTCCTGTTGGGGTCCTGACCATTGAAGAATAAAAGAGAGAAACAGATGGGCTACAATCTATAATTAAAGAGCTACAAAGTGCATCTATTTGGTAAGCGGAGCTGATAAAATGGACACTGAGTGTAGAAACAATGAGGTAGTTTTAATGTTATGGCTGATCAGTGTATAAATAAGGATGTCAGTTTGAACAGTTAACAAGTAAATGATTTAATTAATTTTAAACTGATTTAAATAAAACATTTTCCAACCTAAGTGCCCATTATCTTATTATTGCAACACACTAACAACTACTGACGTTCTTTCCTTGTTCTTGTACCACATAGTATTTTGTTGTTTTGGTCCACTTCTGGTTGAGTAACACAGTTTCAGGCTGTTTCATGAGAGTGACTCAGAAGCTGAATACGCTCAGAAGTGAAATTCCCCCTGGAGTTCTCTGAGGAAGTCAGTAAATGATGAGTTCTATTGTTTTTGAGATCCAGATATTAAATGTATTGTGAGGTTCCACCTGGAGTTCTACTGGTAAGTCAGAATATGAGGAGTTCTGTTCACTCAAAGTGTTTTAGTAATTACTTTTACTTCTGTGAGTCCATATTTTATTGAACACTTTAACCTGAAGATGGCTTTAAAACGCTTTACACACCTCTGTATGTAAGTTAATGGACTGCGTACCTTACTATGGGGAAACAGACCGTCTTTAAAGAGCCGAGGAGCTGCTGTGTCTGTGCTGTGAGCTGTGTTTAATGTACAGTGAGCGCAAACACTGTTTTTACTCTGCATTGTTTTCTACAGCTCCGCTGACGTCACGCTCGCCACTGGCTGGGAAGAAGAAGCTGTAGCTCAGTGCGGATCCTCCAAAATGGCTGTTGTTGAAGATGGAGAGTAGAAAAACAGACAGGATTCGACAGGGGACAACAGGAATAAGAGTCTGACGAACAGCCCTCCTCGGAGTGCATCTTTTTAACGTTTCTGTCTCAAAGGTAGGACCGAAAATATATAGCTAAGCTAACAATTAGCTGGCTAACCAGTGTGGATATTTTCAACGCTGATGCTGTTTGATTGACAGCCCATCGGCTGAGAATTAACCAAGTTTGTAGGGTAATCCATAGTTAACCGTTTTGATTTTAACGTCTTTAACGGCTGCCCGTGTCTGATGTGTTACAGTTTTAACCGTGTAAGCCTTAATGTGGAAGAAGTAAATAGTGTTTTAGCGATAAAAGGAAACAGTTTCGAGTGGAGCGGAGCCGGTGTAGTCGGCTAGCTAGGTTAGCCAGTTAGCATCCAGCGGCGATGCCAGACTGTTTACTGGTATGACCTTGTATGAGTAAAAACTGTTTGAGTTTGTTTTTAGGCACAAATTGTGTCGTGTCCATTTGCAGTAATATTGTATTGGTTAGATGTGACCGAATATAAATGTAGGCAGCATAAGTGGATTTGATCAGATTGTCTAGTTAGTATTCCAGGATGTCGTGTATTCATTTATTGCATTTATTGCTTAATGAAACCAAACATTTCACTGTGGTTCCCGTCCAAATAGGGCTTGACGGTTAAACATTACTTTAAATTAATTGTTTAGACGTTGTTTGTCTATGTTGTAATTTTAAACGCTCTGGATTGCGTTGTAAAGGGCTTTATATCAGCTAATATCCTACAATAGACCATATAGCTGTAGCTTTGTCATCAATATGTAGCGGTTAAAGTGCATTTCCTTTAAGATGTATTGCAGTGTCATTATATTCACTGCACTCTAACACAAAATTAAAGCTTACCTCCTTCACCTTCTCCTGGCATTGTGCTGACCTTAAATCTTAAATACTCGCATTTTAATCCCTGTCAGTTTGGTCTGTATGAATATGGGTCGGTATGATAGAATATTTTGTAATACATGGTCTTTCAAAGGTTAAGGTTTCAATATTGTACCGCTGAGAAATTCACTAATATGCTGTATGTTTGCAGATATGGACGAGCTGTAAATCTGGACTTGTTTTTCAAAACCCCATCATTGACTAGGATATGAGGACAAAGTGCAGTTTTTGCAGGCACTGTTATTATTGGCTGTTCTTTAATTCAAGCAAATACCTGTTTACTTTTACGGTTTCAATCAAAGATGCCTTCACAATATGCTAACAGCGTCTCGGTCAATTGAGCATGTGCCAGGAACACTAGGCATTAGCCAGTCCTAGTGGT